AGTATCTAGTTTAATATACAGTCAACCCTCTATATAATCACCTAGTTGGGAGCATAGGAATTTTTTTAAAAATGTGCTTATAAAGAGATTGTGCTTATATAGAGGTTTTTTCTTTATATTTATAGTAGCTTATTTAAAAAAAAACTAAGTGCTTATATAGAGGTGTGATTATAAAAATGTGACTATATAGAGGTCTGACTGTATTTAAAATCTAATTAATATCTAGCTTAAGATAATTAAAATCTATTTAAAATCTATTAATAATATACAGTCTTCCTCCTCTATAATCACGCAGTTTGTATCAAGAAAATTAGTGATTATAAAAGAGTATGATTATATATAAGTATTTTTTTAAAAGTTTATTAATAAATCGTCTCAAAATTTAATGTGATTGAACAGAAGTTGTGATTATATAGGAGGTGATTATAGAGGAGGAAGACTGTATTTAATATCTAGTTTAATATAATTAAAATCTATTTAAAATTTACTTAAAATCTAATTAATAATATATTTAATATCTAGTTTAATATATTTAAAATCTATTTAAAATCTATTTAGAATTAATAATAATATATTTAGGATATTGTTAAATATCGCAGGTTGCTATATCGCAGGTTAATATAATCAACCAATTAGATCACAGGATCTTGTGTAACAAAAATGAACAAAAAATTAGAAAAAATTAAGAAAAAAGTCAAAGTTTTAAATATCTCAAAATTTCATTATGTAAACTAGTCTTGGGCTCCTAATTAAAAGTTTTCAACACTTAATTTTGCATATATTTATGCCTTCTAATACTAGATCGAACCCTAACCCAAACTAATAATAATTTTAATTTTTTTTAAATATATATTAACCTGCGATATCACAACCTGTTAAATTTAACAAATTCCTATATTTAATATCTAGTTTAATATATTTAAAGTCTATTTAAAATTTAATTAAAATCTATTTAAATTTTTCTTAACTATTTTTTAATATATTTAAAATATTTATATTAGATAAAAACAAGTTGTTTGTTAGTAAGTTAATAGACTTGATAATATTTATAACAGATAAAAACAACTGCATATAAAAGTTAAAATTTTTTTGCTAAATAAATTGTCATTAGGCTTCTAAGTAAAGTTGTTAGCTCATCAATATGCATATATCCTGGGATATTTTAATTTTCTAAAAAACTCAATGTTTCGAAAATAAGCATCCATAAAATTTTTGTGTAATTTTTTTTCTAAAAAACGGTAGCTTATTTTCGGAAATATATGGTATAAAAAACGTTTTTTAATAAAACTGCATACTGTATATATAAAGTAGTAAAAACAAACCTTTAAATTATTTTATTGGTCTATTATTGGCAGCACCGTGTAACCAATGATATAACATTTTTTCTTATATGAACTTTGTCATATAACCATACAAATTTTGGTCATATGTCATATTTTCATATTAAGCATTAATAAAATTCTTTTTTTACTATTAAAAAATCGTAATGTCATATCAACCTTCATTATGAACAAATGATTTATGGGGATTATATAATGCTTCATTAGTAAAAAAAAAAAAAATCAATAATACATGAAGATGTAAAATGAGATTATAATGCTTTCTTGGTAAAAAATGCATGAAGATGTCAAATGAGATTATAATGCTTCCTTGGTAAAAAAAAAAAAAAAAAAAAAAAAAAAAAAAAAAAAAATAGATGAGATGTAATATCCGATTATTGCAATTAGATTTAATGGCCTAACCGGTACACATCAGAGCTTCACCAAGAAGAAACAATATTAATCAAATTATCTTTATCCTTCAACTTTTGCCTTTCAGTAACGATAGCTCTTGTGAAAGAACTAGACGTCCTAGCACAATCATTCGGGCCCATTAAGAAATACTTTGCATTTATGCAAACTAATTTATCAAGTATTCCGTGTATACCAGCACTATTAAATTCTGATTCATATTTTGGGTCGTCTCTAATTTGTGAGAAAGCGTCCATTGAAATCCACGAATCAATTTTTATGTGATCGGAACTATTTGCAATAGTACCATTTAGTCCAAGTATTTCAATAGCTTCTTTATGAAAATTAGAAATATTATGAAATGTTAGTGATTGGGGATTACCGCCATTAAGTGGAAAATCAGTTGCCAAATATACATATTTTATTCCATATCGTTTTTGAAGTTTTTTTAATGTTTTAATTAGTTTCTTGGCACATTTTGGCATTAATTCAGGCTGTCTTTGCTCCATTCTCCAATGAACAGCTATATAAGACTTTAATTTTTTTAAGATTTTTTTAGACTCTTTAATAATACATGGTGAATATGGAATTACTTTGGTAATCCTTGGAAATATTTCTGCAGGTGATGTATCTAATATCATTATTACTTCATATTCTCCTGTTGTCGATGGAGTTTTTAGAGTGTTTGAAACAAGTTTAAACATTGCTTCTTGATCAAATTTACCAATCCCCGTATGAATTTGTTTATAATTCGTGATGTTTAGATTAAATAAATCTGTGCAAAACGTTTTTCTTTGCTTGTTTCCAAATTTAGCATTTTCCTCTATTCCCATAATCTTTTTTTTTCGAGACTTAAACA